CTTGCACCTTCGGGACAGGAGTTGTAAGTAAAGTGCAATGGTTTTAGAACATTCTCTAGCAAAGTTTTTGCTATAGGAACTCGAGATAAATCAGAATATTCAATACTTGATGGAAGTTTGCTGTTAATCAACAAATAGAGAGACCTATAATACCCTAAAAGGAAAAATACATATTTACAATATAGTACCTTATCTTATAATAAGGAAAAAAACTCATTAATTTTTAAATGCTTTTTAAAAATCTCTATAGGTCCAAATTTCGGGTAATCTTTTAACATTAAGGAAAACCTTAAACAAATAGATAAGCAGCACAATTAGTAAACACATGCACCCATGACTTGATATCTGCAAAAGCTGGCAATAGCCAATCCTACGTCACCTGTACCCCACTCATACGGAAGCAAATCTAAGATATAATTATTTCAAGGCTGGGTGCTGTGGCTCACGCCTGTGTTCCCAGCACTCTGGCAGGCCGAGGGAGGTGGACTGCCTGACCTCACGGGTTTGAGACCAGGCTGAGCCGGAGCCAAAACCCCATCTCTTAAAAAAAAAAAAAAAAATAGCCGGGCATTATGGTGGGCACCTGTAGTCTCAGCAGCTAAGGAAGCTGAGGCAAGAGAATCACTTGAGCTTACGAGTTTGAGGTTGTTGTGAGCTGTGAAGCCACTACTGAGGGCAACAAACTCAAAGAAAAAAACAAGACGACGACATAATTATTTTACTGTACCATTAAAAGGACTTCATTTTGAAAAATACCATTATCATAGATAAATTAGCAGCAATTCCTTAATGTGACAAATATCTAGTTAGTGTCCAAGTCTCCAGTCACCTCTTATCATAAATTCTGTTTAGCTAGATTACTTGAAACAGTATCCCAATAAGGCCTATACATTGGGATCTTTTTATGTGTCTGCTAAGCATCCCCCAAGTATTCAGCTAGTATTGTGGGCTTTATAAATAGCCTGTTGAGGCCTGTAATCTAAGCAATTTGAGAGGCCCAGGCAGGATCACTTGAGGTCAGGAGTTTGCAACCAGCCTAGGCAAAAGAGAAAGATGCCATCTCTACAAAAAATATTTTAAAAACTTAGATAGCCAAGGTCCTGTATGCCTGTAGTCCCAGCTATGTTGGAGGCAAAAGCAGGAGGATGGCTTGAGTATATGAATTTCAGGCTATAGAGAGCTGTGATGACACCACTGCATTCAGCGTGACAGAGTGAGACCCTACCTCAAAAAGAAAAAAAGAATGAAAAAATTCATGTTGAATTCATGGAGTAAACTGTAGTGATGTTTTCAACGCACTGTGGTGATTATCCTCACTAATCTCCACACCATCCCATGTCGGGTGGTTCCTGAGCCTGGAGGTCACGGGGAGCGCTGCTCTCTGCTGGGACGAGCTCCTCCAGTCTCACCTCCTGTGTTCTGATCCAGACCTACAGTCAGCCTTTTGTTCAGCGACAGTGAAGTTCCGTTTAGAGGAAGTGATATATCTGGAGACTACAATCAGGCCACTAAGGAAGTTAATAATTTTTTTTTTTAAGATGATTAATTCTTTCTTTCTTTATTTTTTGTAGTTTTTTTTTGCCAGGACCAGGTTTGAACCCACCACCTCTGGTATATGGGGCCAGGACCCTACTCCTTGAGCCACAGGCACCACCTGGAAGTCAATAATTTAATGGCAACCTCTGTGTGAGTAGAAACATCTTTTATGTTATTAAATTTTTCTTTCTATGCTTTTGATAGGATTTCTAGGTGTGCAGTGAATATAAACTCTGGTTATCCCCAACGATTCAAATCATATACTCTTTTAGAAATATTTGCCTGCTTTTTGCACAATAGTAAGAACAATGCCTGGGTGTCATTTGTGAACATCTCACCATTGTACAGGCACATTTGGTAGCACGCATTAAAAACAATCCATTTACCGGGGACAGATTTTGAAAATAGTTCTACATAGCTTCGCACTGGAGTTATGATTACTAAACAAGGAGTGTTCTGCACTCTCATTAGACCTACTCTGTAAGTGCCCCAATTCGAAATTAAACCCTTGCGTGGATTAATTTCTACTGAAACTTAAAACGGAAGCTTGAAAACTCTTTCCTATCAAACTGAAAAGACATACACATCAAGAATTTATAAAAATACATCAAGACTCACTATCACATCATCAACAATATGCGTGCTGAACAGATACTCTCAGGACGCAGCACAATAGGGCGGTAAGTTCTGAGACAAGAGCTAGGAAGCTTCATAGCACATAATGTAAACACAAATATAAACTGTAATTAATAAAGATGCCAAAATTTTACAGACTAAGAATATCAAGAAGTAATTTATCAAAATAGCTGAGAAATGGCACACCACAGAGGATGCTAGAAACAGTTTGCTGCAACATTTTCAAGCATTTCCTATTCTTAGAAACATTTCAGATAATGCATGCTTCTTATTATCTTCCTTATAATTTTAGAAAACACAAAAAGGAAACATTCTCATCCAATGCTTGGCCTAAGGGTGATATGCATAATACACTAATCATCAATAATACAAATGGAGCACTTCTAATTATCATTAGTTTGATTTTCAAAAAATTAAATCCCACTAATTTCAATTTACTTTTAATTAACAGTAATTTCCCTAAGTTTTCATCAAAGTAGTTTTAAAGAAATGATAATAAACCAAACAGCAGGGTTAGAACAGACATTTAACCTTTACAGTTTTTTTTTTTTAAATTAGGTCATAGCTGTGTACATTGATACTGTCATGGGGTACAGTATGCTATTTTTATATACAATTTGAAATATTCTCATCAAACTGGTTAACACAGCCTTCATGTTTACAGTTTTATTTATTATTATTATTTTATGAGACAGAGTCTCACTATGTCGCCCTTGGTAGAGTGCCGTAGTGTCACAGCTCACAGCAACCTCCAACTCTTGGGCTTAAGTGATTCTCTTGCCTTAGCCTCCCAAGTAACTGGGACTATAGGTGCCCACCGCAATGCCCGGCTATTTTTTGGTTGTAGTTGTCATTGTTGTTTAGCTGGCCCGGGCCAAGTTTGAACCTGCCACCCTCAGTGCATGTAGCTGGCACCCCAGCTGCTGAGCTACAGGAGCTGAGTCAACTTTTACAGTTTTAATCCACAGGACTGAATCAGTTACATTTAACCTGTATCATTATTTCATCATTTCAAGACATATGCAGTTATTTGCACTTTCATTACTAAGTATGGCTTTCCAAAAGCACCTACAGATCCTTTATGACTGATAACACACACACACACACACACATATATATATATATATTTTTTTTTTTTTTTTTTTT